GCCCAGAGGTTGTTTCCGGGTTAAATACGGTGAGTTAGCCCTTCCCTGACTTTGATCTGCCCAGAAATTGTTTCAGTTTTTGTTCTAGCCTATGTTTAATCTTTAGACTTTCACTACTGGAAGACTTCAACATATAAAGCTAGTAATATTGAATTACATCACAACCGATACTCCAGTTTCGAGTTCTCTTTTGCCCCAGCCTTGAATAATGAATAATGACCGGTACTTTAGCTGCAGTGCGCAAGATTACAGTCATTCTCAATCACACGCGCCACTCTAGCGATTGTTTTTTTTCGCGACGTAGAAGCTTTTGGTGGACGTCAATCAAGGCGTTTCCATGACATTCTAAAGGCACGTGCCCTTATAGCTTTGTGTTTTCCGACAATGTCATGGAAACGCCTTGTGATTGACGTCTACGAAAACCTTCCTCGTCGCGACAGAAACAATCGCTAGAGGGCGCGTGTAATTGAGAATGGCTGTAATAAAGCCACCACTCCTAGCCCTAAAAACAGCGGTCCCTCAGCATAACGATAGGGATAAGATTACAAGATAAATAGAATGCGATTCGACGCATTCAGATGTACTCATCTTAACAAAGTTAGTCGCCTGAAGAGCTACAAAGCTGAGACCAACAATTGATGGATTGCAAGCGGCTTACCAAGAGAGTCAAAAGACAAAAACATGGCGGCAATCTTGGTGCCGTTAACAATGGTTGGCACAAATATGGTCGCGGTAACGTGACGTGCAATCGAAGAATACACATCTCGTACATTTACATGTTTTACCCGCTTGATAACTATTGATGGACTTGAGATCTTTTACCAGTTAGTTTCACGTCCTGTGAGCATCCTCAAGCTGCAGTTTGTATCGAAATATTTTACTTGTTTGATATGAAATGTTTCCCGTGATATTCAGCGGTCTCTGTAGGCTTTTCGTGACTAACTTTATTGAAATGAGTAAACAGCTATTTCAAAGTAGTTTGGAGAAGGTTTTTGTTATACTTCATACCAATCCC